GTAATCACTCTATCATATATATATATATATACACACATATACATATATATATATATGTGTATATATATACACACTGGAGAAAAGGTTTTTGCCATAAGGCACATACACTCACTGGAGAGAGGAAGAAAAAGAGAGGAACAGTGACAGGAAAAGTGAGAAATCACCCCTCCTCCCCCTCAGGAGGGATGACCATGCCACAATCCCTTCTTCTTTATTCTCTCGGGATTTGGGGCACACATGCACAGGTACCTGGTGTAAGTTTCAAGGTACCGGATCCAAGACTCAAACCATGGTCAACCATGTGAGAGTCCAGTGTTTTAACCACCTCACCACCTGCTGGCCCCAATCACACTATATTTAGTAGGAGTAAATGAATAGAAACTCAGAATGGCATTAATTACAGCCAAGATTCAAACAAGCTGTACATTTTTAAATGTTATTAGAGGGACTAGCAGATGGCATAATGGCTATGTCACTGGACTCCCACTTAGTCAACTGCAATTCGAGTCCTGGACCTAGCGGCTTAAACCCACACCCAGCGCATGTGTGTGCATGCCTAAGATCCCAAGAGGAGACCGGAAGGATTGTGCCATGGCCATCCCCCATGGGGGGTGATTTCTTGCTTTCTGTCTCTCTGTCTCTCCAGCAGGTGCACAATCCCTATAGCAAAAATCTCTCTCTTAAAAGAAATGCTATTAGAAATTAGAAAGTATAAAATCTTGTCCATGTGCAAGGCAAATTCTCAACTGAACCACCTATTTGTTATGTTCTAATTTCTGAGATTTAAAAAAAAATGTATATTTTCAGGGCTGGTAGGTGGTATGGTGGCTAAAGTTCCTGGACTCCCACATGGCTGACAACAGTTCGAGTCCTGGACCTGGGGGCCTGCTTTCTAACTTTCCCTCTCTCTCTCTCTGTCTCTTTCTGATCAAAATGGAAAATAATAATAATAGTAAAGTTAAATAAAATATTTCTTTAAAAGAAATATATATGTATATTATTTTTAAAATACTTTTAGGGGCCAGCAGGTGGCATGGTAGTTAAGGCACTGGACATTCCCACATGGCCAACCATAGTTCAAGTCCCGGACCTGGTGGCTTGCCTTCTCATTTTTCCTCTCTCTGGTCAAATTAAAATAAATGAATGAATAAATAAGTTTAAAAAATACTTTTAAACAAAAGCATCAGCAAATGTCACCACTTTAAGATATTGTGGGAAATAGGTGGAGGCGTTATTCTTATATCTGCTAACCTTGAGGATAAGAAGGAAAAACAAGTTTAGAAGCAGATGTAAGTATATATGTCACCCTGTAATTCATCAGACCCAAGAAGCAGACTGCTGATGCTGCAACAACTTAGAATTATGTAATAGAGTAAGTCGGCACTTTCCAAAGAATGCTCATCAGAATACTATTCTACAAGGTATTGACAGATATTCTACATACACCTACCCACACAGACATTTCATAGTCAATGAACTGGGAAAAACTAGAGTGAGTTCTACTAATTTCTTTATTGCAGGATTTCTCGGCGCTTTCATTTAGCATTAATTTGTGTATGCACTCCTCAACTTTTGTTTTTTTTCTTGGTTTGTTATACAGGACATAGAAGAAAAACATCAAAAAGTTTATGGAAAATTGAATTAAAGTACAAGTTCCTTTAGGCGCAAAAGATTTTGAAACTCAAGCAAAATTTTTTTCCTAACGCATATTTTCTGTGAACTTTTTGAAGACTCTCTTGTATGTTCACAAACATATTTTGGGAAATGCTATTCTATATTTTGTATTATAAATATGCTTCTGAAGCAGGAATTCATTTTAAATGTCCTGTTTTTTATTGAAAAATGGATTATTAAGTGTTCACCACATTCTCTAGAATGGAGAAAAAGAACTAAGCTCAGTGGTGATCATCAAGTTTTCTTCACTGAGCTGTTATATAGGTCAATTATCATCACACACACGAAAGCAAAGCAATTTTCTTTCTTTTCTTTCCTTTTTTTTTTTTTTTACTTTGCTATAAGGTGCACATGCTCACTAGAGTGAGTGAGAGGGAAAGGGAAAGTGAGAAAGCACCTTCCAGGGGGAATGGCCATACCATAATCTCTTCTCCATTTGCCTCTCAAGATTTTTGGACACAGGGACCAAGAGTTAGCATAATGGCTATGTCACTAGACTCCCATGTAGTCGACTGTGGTTCGAGTCCCAGACCCGGTGGCTTAAACTCACGCCAGGTGCGTGTGCATGCATGCCCAAGATCCTGAGAGGAGAATGGAGGAGAAGGGATTGTGGTGTGGCCATCTCCCCTGGGGGGTGATTTCTCACTTTC